TCTTAAAACTTTCCCAAGCTAGAGTTCAGCAATAAAAAAATTAAAAAAAAGGAGGCCCTTGATCACTTCCTGCACTTGCTGTAACTGGGTTTTCTCTAAGAGAAACAGTATGAGTACTGGCACATACTTGGTACCGTAGTGGAATGAGCCAGGACGTCACAGTATGACTTGCTAAAACTTCAAGTACATACACTGCCATCTATCACTGGAGAAGAATCCTCTATCAGATCTTCTATGTTTCTGTTCTGATCACTGCCTGGCACACCCAAAAAGACTTGGAGCATCTGGAAATGAAGCCGAGTTTTGTGGGCCAGCACTTAAGTGCTTGGTGGTTAATGTGCTCAGTGTCCATTTGCAGAGCCATTCTGGCCCATATATTGCAAACGTTGTATTTCTATGATAGCTGAAGTCATTACAGGATTCAAGTGTAAGTTCAGCTAGTGGAGTTTTGCCTAAGTAGAAATACTAAGGACTTTAGGATTTTTAGACTGGTCTTTAAAAGGCTAAGAAATGTCAGAACAAATCAGCTCCATAGTTTAATTTCTTACTGGTATACAAATAAATCTGAATTTCATTCTATGGCAACCTTTTCTCTTTAATTTGAAGAATTTGTTTATTTTTAAACAAGAATGATGCATTATTCTTTCACCTAAAGAAGAAACAAATCCCAAAAGCCTAATGTCCACTGGTGTCCTTACTCTATTCTGAAAATTTCTATAGGTGGTAGCAGCAGGCAGACGGGCAACATACCGCACTTTGATATAGATTCGAGATTTCTGCCACTGAAAGATGGCACCGTAGTGCCAAGCATGATCTCATCTTTTCTGTCACACACCAGTCACCATTACTGATACTGCATAAATCCTCAGTGTCTCAAATGAAGGTGATATTTTCATGAATATACTAAAAATAAAAGCATTCATCCTATATAGACTTTCCCCACAAGAGTCGGAACGGAGAAGAATAACGAGAGATCTTTCTCACTTACCAATCTGAACCATCTGAACAATATAATTTCAAGCCGCACCTAATACAACTTTGCTTAAAATACAGCCCTTTATTTTGTTTCATGCTGCACCACTCTTAATAGACCACAAGTCTGGCATAAGTCATGCCAGGCTGATTTATGACACGAAAACTTCCCAGAGCAGGGTGAAATGCATCGTACAGTCACACTGCACTTCAATGCAAGTAGACTGCATTTAATTTATCTGAAATTTGGAAAATTCATGGCAGGTGCCTTATCTGTTTCTCTTTTCTCCAACATGGTAGGGAAGTGAAGTTTTTGTAACTTGGTTGGTCTCCCCTTACTTCCTTAGTTAATTCCCAATACTTAATTTCTATCCAGGTGGCAAAAGTATCTAGCTATTTGCTGCATGTCACTTCTTTCTGGGAAGATGAGTCATAGCATATGACAATTAATTAAGTAAACTTGACTTACTGCAAGGCAACTGAAATGAAAAGAACTGTATTTTCACTTGGACATAGTTGAAATCAGTTTGAAAACTGAGTACTCTGCCATCTGAATGACTTTTTGGATGACTAGTAAAAAGGTAACAAACACCAGACAGATCTTCATAGACCTTCCATTTGAACTTTAGGTCCTCCATCTCAAAGCAGTATAGCAAATGCTTTCGCAAAGAGGGTCAGTGTTACTTTCAGTGGGACTATACGAAACTTTTGGGCTCCTCCCAACTTTTGTGCTTCTTTTAACGGCTATTCTTCTGCTCAACTGCCATAAGAAATACAGCAGAATGCGAAAGTGAGAAAATACTAACTTGCTTATCAGGAAAATCCATCTAATGAGTGAAATAACAACAGAAATGGTCTAAATAGGGATAAATATCTTGTTTCGTAAACCCATCTGTCATAAATCCTGTTGCAAATCTTTTCAAAAGGTTATAAATAAGAGAACATCTATTTTAGAAATGGCCAACACATTTATTCCCAGCAGCAAATCCAAACATGGTGAGTAATCTGGCATAGAGTTTTTAAATTCACCAGCTGCCATCCACCTCAGGCAGAACCATACCTCACTTTGTCTATGTAGTATATACCATATGTGAATAACCTAACACGGTCATTGGTAATCCCACTCCTGAATTTTCCACTCAAGCTGAAATTTAAATAAAAATATCACAGCTAACAGAATATAAGTATTTGAAACAGGCAAAAACTGAATAGAAAATGAAAATGATTCTGTTTGCAACAAGAATTGCAATCCTGGAACATTAAAAAAAAAAACCATTCCTGTATTCTTCAGTGACAAGGCATTGAAAGAAAATGGTTTGGTCTTGTTTAAAACACAATAAAGTCAAAACATGTCTGCTTTGAATTGGAGGTAGTGATGAAAGGTAGAGGTACATAGATAATTCTCAGGTGTCACGAAAGAATATAAACTTTTAAACCGCTCCCCTGCAGTTTAACATATACATAAATATATAAACATACTTCTGTTAAAATGTCATCCTCCTAGAGAGCTGGGAGCTTAATAACATTAAGTAGTGTTTGCTTTAGCTTCCTTTCTGTAAGGAGAGGCATTTTTGCTCTGTATTCCAGTTAACTTCCTAAACAAAAAAATGCTACAAGATTTGACTCACCGTTCTTGTCAAATGACAGTTTTAACAGAAGATCATTTGGGCTTCTTGGTGGGGAACTGGTGGTGGAGAGGGAAATTACTTTGTTTTACTTTACTGGGCTTTAAATTTTCAACAAACAGGATAGGTAGACACCTGCTTTGCCTACTCTTGACTGAAACAGAGATATGAACTGTAGAAGTGAGTTTCATTTCAGGTTCTTAAGCAAAAGACAATAAAGGCATACACTATCATAAGGACAGCATTGCCTTTTCTACAGGTACAGGATCAGATAAAAGTGATCTAAAGAAAGTGATCTGCTTATATACAGCAATCACTACATATGCACTTGTATGGGAGTTCTAGATGTTAAATATCTTTGGGGTTGGACTTCTTTACTTAACAATCTTTTCACAATTCACAAAGATAATCACTAAATTAAATAATTTGATAAAGACCATATGACATATAATAATTATTTCAAAGTCAACCATTCTAATTTATGTTTCCTAAATAAACCATACAAAAGAAGAATTTTCTTTGTACCAGATGTTCACTTGTAACAAAATAAAATAGCGTAGGCAGGGAACATGACAAATTGACCACAGCATGGTCACACACGGGGATCATATACCTGGACACAAAGTAACTTCAGACCAAGAGCTTGTGTATAAGCTTTGGAGATGGAATTGTGGATGACTCAATGGCCTGAAAAAGTCTTAAAAAAGAACCAGTGGCCTGCAGTGAGACACCACGAACACTGCTGAAACCTATCACTCTCTTGTGAATCTCTAGTCATTTATTTTATGTGGCTTTCACAGAGCCTGAAACAGTCTCTACTTTGTGATTTTTTTTCTTGCCTTTCTTTTAAGAGTGAGCAAAGTGAGAAGAATATCTAGAAGTAAAATACTTTTAATCTTGCGGCATTTTCTCAGTGAATGAAGGAGATTTCCTTATTAGCCATAACCCCCTCCAACATGAGAGATTTACATTAGAAGCAAACTAAATTCATACTACGTTTTCTAAGCAAAGGAAAATTTTCTTATGAGTTTACTCTAGTTTTACACTGTTACAACTCCTGGGAATTAATTTCTTGAGAACTAGCGTAATGCCAAAGTAATACAGTAGTGATCGGGGTTTAAAGCTTGCTATCAAAATCCCAAATGGAGAACAGTGAATTTCCATTCTACACAGGGAATTCTCCAGGTATGGATAAACCATGCCGTGACTGCGGAGGTACTTGGCTTGGCTCTACATATGCTAGTTCAAGCAAGCCAATAAGCATGGGATCACCTTAGTTCTGGAAACAGAGGCCTAACCTGGATTTTATCTTTAAATTATTCCAACCTCTCTTCCTCCAACTCATAACAGTGAAGAGCTGAGACAAGTTCAAACTCACAAACTTTAGTCAAATGCATATCTAACATAAGTTTTGACTACATAAAGACAGATCAAACCCCTCAGCAATCTCTGTAAACACCAGTACATACTTTTCACACTAATCCAAAAAATCAGAGTAACCATATTATTATTCTAAAAGATACATCTAAACACAAACCAGAAAAATCAGAGGAGCAGTGCAACTGGTTACATTATTTAGAAAATCCATATAGGCACAGAGTAAACATCCGTGAATGAAAATTAAATGATATGTTCAGGATATTTCTGAACACCAAAAGTGAATTTCAGCTATTGACAGTTGCAATTTTTCCATTATGCTCAGTTAGTTTTTTATAAATTTTCAGAAATAATTTCAAAGGTATAGGAAGGAATCAAATTTTCAGTGTGGGAATTCAAAATCCAGAGGTAGTCATCCTCTGGACTTGTTATTCAAAACAGTCTGCATCCTACACAGCGCATTCCAAAATGCACTCCAAGATGACCCAAGGGCAAAAATCAATGACGAACTTTCTTAACAAGCACGGAAATCTACTCCATCCCCTCTTCAATTTCAGTACTACTTAATTTCAAAACTCTTTGAAAGATACAAGAAAGACGGGACATGCAAAGCCTGTGCTTTTACTGCTATGCAATAAAAGCATAATGAGCTGATCGTTTAGGGCCTGATAGAAGCTCACCGAAGTCAATACCATCCTTTCTGTTGATTTCAATGGCTTTTATACCAGGCCCTTAAATAGACTGTTAAAATACATCTGAATGAGTGATTTTGGCTCAGTATCACCACACCCACCCCGTTTCGCTGATTGGTATTTGCTGGCGATTTGGCAAATGCGTTTATACATGACAGCAGAAAATACAAAGTTCAGAAATAGCACTTTGTCAGTCAAAATCACTTGCCTGGTGTTAGACAGTTAAAACTATTAAGCACTGGCTGCTAATTTCAGCCACTTAAATGCTGTTGCAAATGAAAGATGAAGCATTGCATGAAGCCATGCTAAAATGGATAGAAGGATGGTTACTTACCAACGGGGCGAGCTGTTGACATTACAATGGTGTAGTGAGAACATAAAAAAGAAATTAAAAAAAGAAAAGAGTATCTGTCAGAATGCATGACGTGTAATGTTACCTTCTACTATGGATACTACCATGATTGCTAACCCCTCAAATGACAGCCTAAATAAAATGTTTACTGTTGTTACTGTTTAATTACGTGCCACTATTATCACATTTACTTGAGCATAGCATCTGAACAAGCTGACTGGAACCACTCTTTGAGAAACATTTTTATTATCTTCGCATGCCATCACCAAGTATCATTGTTAATGCCTGATAAAAGAAAAAATGCATTGCATTAGCACAAACTTTTAGATCCCGATGAACACATCAACTGAAGCCACAGAGTGCCAAATGTCATGCCGGTAGATGCAAGGCATTTGCTTTCTGAGTCAAATACCAATTGAATTTTAAGCATGGCCAGTCAGTACAGCAGTAAGGGCTACAGAAAGCCCAGGACAGTTTTTCTAATTCAATAACGGGCATGAAAGCTTACAGCACACTGCTTTTCTCTCACTGACAGTGCTGATGAAAATATAACAAATGGGCTGAAATGGCTGCAGGGATTTCAACCCAGAACCTCCCAAATTACTGCTCAGATAACTTCTACTTCCCAACAAAACTGCTGCTGAGTGATCCACAGGTTAATACTGTTTCAGGTTGGTATCAAGATTGAAAGCTGCTGCTGCAACAGGTGATTTCTTGACTACAGCAACAGCCCTTCATTATACTTGTGCTGGGGAAAAGGGCTGTCAGTCCCTCTGTTAATAAAATAGAGACATCCCCTTTCAGAAGAGCTGAAAAGTTGGACATAAAATTGACTCCAGGTTGCATCTGGGTAGGCCAAACTTCCCTTATTTTAGCAGCACAAGTAGTTACACATTTCTGAGCAACAGCACAAAGTTTTTCCTTTTTTTTTTTTTTTTTTTTTTTTTAAGAATCACACCAGCTCTGTATGCTTATGTGCAGGCTAGGGTCAAATGTAAGATATGCAGATCCAGAGGTAACACAGCATGCAAGGACCTTCTTAGTTCTCAACCTTTCTGTGGCCTTATCCTTACTTTGGCATACCCACTTCATTTAACTATTTCAAGCCTGCTGCCCTTTCTCACCCATCATCTATTTGAAGACTTTCTGCCTTCTAGTATTATGGACGTATTCCTTCTTCTGCAGAGAGATAAGGAATAAGAGTAATGTGCACCTTTCTAAGAGAGGGCATGAAGGCTGAGCCACAGAATTCAAATTCTGCTATTGTTTGTGACAGTGTAACGCAAACTCCCTGACTGCATCCTCATCCCCTGCTTTGAGAAGATGGAGCCATGAATGAGGGAGCTAAGGATAATGCTGTTGTTGCCAGGTTTCCAGCTGTAACTATGTGACACCTGCAAGGACCAAGGCACCCTCAAAGTAAATTCTGAAGTGCTTCAAAGTAAATTCTGAAGTGCTATGTGTTTTTGCTCCTCTATATGATGAGTGGTTATGGTAAAAGCAGTTTCAGACAAAACTGGTAAAAGTTTAAGAATTCAGAATTGAGGCTTCCTTTAATTGAAAGGACCATTGTTCACGGTCCCTTTAAAGTTAATAGGCTTTTGCCCAGTCCTTTGCTTTCAGAAAATTCAGCGTAATAACCTTCTCCATTGAATTTCTTGGCTTTTCTCATTTTCTGTCATATCCTGAACATTTAATATGCTTATAATATTGTGGCTTCCTTTGTGTTGGATAAACACTATGAATTTGACTATAAATGACAAACCCAGGGGGGGAAAATACCCAAGATAATGAAAACCTGCTTTTACTGTACTAAAATCGATTAAATTATATATTTCCTTGGGTTTTTTTCACCTTAATTTCATCAGGTTCAAGCTTCAGTGATTTCAAAGGATTTTTTGCTTGGTTCTAGCTATTGTTTATATCACAAGTCTGGGTAGCAAATCTAAAAGGCTTGCTCCAGTAATGTATACACAATTCTAGGAGTGTTTAAAGGCTATCGAATTGGTTGCCAGATTTATTGGATACCATGATTCTGCCTGTGACAAAGGAACAGAGTGAGAGTATTTCTGGGAGTTCACTGTAGTGACTATTTTTTTCACATTACAAAATGGAAGAACAATCTCTTACACAAGCATGTAGCAGGGAAACCTATTTCTTCAGCTTAAAACGGGAAGAGCTGCATTATCACTTATTGTCTAAAGCAAACACTGAGGTAATATTTCAGCAGATGGATTATCACAACACTCTCTTTTCTTTGTTATATACTAACATCTCCCCCCCTACAAAGTCACTCAGTGCTTTTTTTTCCCTTTGAATTCAGCAAATTAAACTGAACTGTGTCCATGCATTAAATGGATGGAAATGGAAGCTGGCCTCTTGGGTCAGTTGACCCCAGTTCTAATAAAGCAATCCACTGAGACTTTGAACATTTGATTTAATGTGTATGAAAAGAGAAGAACAGATAAAGCTAAAAATGTTTTTATTAACCTTTCACAGCTCTACTGAAAACCATCAGCATGCACCACTAAACTGTGAAATAGTGTCTGCATGATATCCATTGTGCCAAATTGCTGCTTATCTTTTGGACTGAAGTAATAACTATTATATTCTATTTACTCATACGGAAATATTAGCCTAAAAACTTTTTCTCTCCCCATAATCTTTAGCATGTCTATATCTACTGTCACAAAAGGCATTTTGGCAACTCATTATTCTACCAGTCTTAAAACCTCCTTACATCAAACAGCAGCACATAAACACTGAGTGGATACTAGAGACCAAGAATATTTTAGGAGAGAATATGTTAGTCTTTACCTTGTAATACTTACAAAATTTAATTAGGATTTTCTTTTTCCTTTGGCTGGGGTTTATCTTTCAGATAAAGAGTAATGGTAGAGAGTTTAATTATGGCAGAGCTAATCGCATAATAATGCTATCTGTATTATGTTTGGCATTAATAAACATAGTTACCTGCTATACTCCTTATACTTATTAGAGAAAGGAACGTGAAGAATAGCCTAAACTGATGGCTCATATATTAAAGCCTATGCCCACGGTTACGTAGTGCTTTCTTATGCATATATATACATCTGCTTTTCAATAAAAAAACACTGGAACAGCTCTTTAACTGCAGGGAGATCCTATCCCATTGAAGTAAATTAAAACTTTGCCTGAGATATCAACAGGACCAGGGTTTCGCCTCTGTTGTACATCAGTGCCAGCACCCACAATTGCAAAGGGTATGTGAAACCCAAACAATGCCAGGTAAGGATGTGGCCCATTTTGTCAGAAAACAATTTATCCATATGGGACACAGGCCCTCCCTCCGTGGGAACACTCACCTCGCACAGTGAGGGTAGCAGAGGCTTCCACTTTTCCAACTCGATTCTCAGCAATGCATGTGTAGGTTCCTTCATCTGTGCTCATGGCCTTCTTAATGCGTAAAGTGTAGTCGTCTTTGATGTCATACCTGCGTTACAGAAAAAGAATGAAAACTCCTTCTGTAGACAACAGAAATGAACGAAAACTCTCACCTGGAATATGCCGGTCTGAATCTATCCTGCAGCCAACTTTGGAAGATAAATTATTATCTAGCATTAGATAATTCCACCAAGCGTTAATCTTCATGACATTTTTATTGCACTCTGCATTAGTTAGAAACTTTACATAAAATTAGTATTGCTATGTTCACTCAGTATTAGGGCTTTATTAATAATATCATTCGCTTTGTCCTTGATCTAGAGCAATAAGATAAAATTAAGCTATCAGACATCAGTTATCAATAAATGACAGCTCAGGTTTATCATGCCTTTAACTATGTGAGCTACACATTTTACCTTTTGCTGATTTTGAAATTTCCCTTTGTATATAGTTTTTCTCTACAGCAGCAACCCCTTAGGGAAACTGTGAGCATGTTGGTAGGATCTGACACTACACGATTACAAACAATAAAAAATGTATTTAAGCTCTGGAAGGTGACATTTATTGAAGAGGCACATTAAAGGAGATTTATCAATTTCACAGAAATACCACAAAATGATTCATTAAGGGTGGACAATAACATTTTCTCTTTCTTAACAGAAATTAGTAATAATTCAGTTACGCTTTGTCCATTTCCTTGTTTTGACTGTTGTAATAATTCTAAAACTATGAGGATGTATAAAACTTGAAATAATACAAAGTACTTCAGCATGCAGTGAACATTCATTCTCGAGGCATTTAGAGTGCTCACACCTAGAAAAATATTTTCAGTTAAATTGTTATTATCCCGCAGAAGTCATGCTTAACAAACTCTTTTAGGCTCTGATCCAAAGCTCATTAAAGCCAACGGGAGACTTTGTCTTGTATGAAATTTCTTTGGCTCCCAAATCAGGAAAACCCTTGTTTTCAGCATGGATATTTTACTCTTGAAATACTGTCTTGTAAAATTATTTTCAACAACATTTCTTCTAGACATAATAAGCCCATGATGCCTTAATTAAGTCACCTTGAAACTAGAGTTAGCTTCAGATTCTCATGTATCAAATAGTGAAATAGGAACACAAAACTAAAGAAAGATCGAGGCTTCAGGAGACGTCAATACCCTTTCTCACTGCATACACAGTCATGACATATCTTCAGAACAACTAATTTACCTTCTCTTTGTTATACAGTAAAAAGCTTGTAGACTTGTTCAGCAAACATATTGAAATCATATGGAAGAGCACCCTTAAATGTTTTGATGAATAAGAATGTAATGCAATTAGTTACAGGAATGTTGTGAGGCTCTATGAGTATTTTTAAATGCTTTGGGAACCTGAAACGTTAATTTATGTGTTCAGAATATACATTGCTATTGGTTCCTTTAGTATAGATTTGTAGAGAGAGCACTGTGTGCTAACAGACTTCAAAGCATCTTAACTCAAAGGATCCTATCTGTTGAAACATTTAAAGTTCTGTTATGTCTAATTAAAGCTCACAACATCAATTAGAGCATTACTAGCAATTCCAAGAATAAAGAGAAGTCAAGACATCTTTTCACACTTACTGCAATACAATACAGCTTCATTCTATATTCAGAAAGTCCATTTTAATCATTAGCAAAAAATAAATTAAAAGAGACCAAATTGAGGCTAACCATTCTGTCAGAGATAAATATAAACACATATAATACCCATTCTGTTAGGAGTTACACCTAATTATATGCATATGCAGTACCTCAGGTTTAACTAATGAATAAGAGATATGCCAAGGGGAAGAATAAGTAGATGCCATGGCAAACTTCAGAAACTTTTAGTGGCAACTTTTTGCTAACATAGTACCATTTGTGTGTGTGTGGGGAAGTTACGACGCTAGAGAACTTAATATGCAGTTTCTGGAGCAGTACAGACCTGTTGCAACTACATTCAACAGCCATATGCAGTTGAGGTGCATTTCTTCTCGACCGCTCACAAATTATGTCATTTTGCATGCTGTGCTGCACTAGTCAATGGCAAATAGAAATCACTGTTTTCATAAGAGAGAAAAGGTAAATTGTCTCCTTTAAAAATCTCGAAATATGACAACAGTATCCCACAACGTTGGAGCAGTTATTTGTCTTTGGCGACCACAGAGTTGCAGACAAGAGAAAATGCTCATTTTCTTGACATGAGGCCAGCCCTAGGGGACTAAAAATATAAAGTTGTATTCAGCTCCCGTAAGATGAGAAAACTAAGATGAGCTGTAATAGAAATATGAGTTGGATATAAGAATCATAGTTATAAAGCTGGGCAACAATTAACCATTGATTTAATTGCCTTTCTTGCCCCCCCCCCCCGACAAATAACTTCCCCGGGGTTCAGTCACCGCTGCCCAGATAAAAACAGACAGGCAGCAGGTCTGCATCTGACTGAGTGGCTGCTTGAACTGGGATGCAGGCAGCCTGGGACAGGGCCCTCCAGTCTGCTGTGAGCTGCAGCTGACTCGCTCTTCTTCATCTCACCGATGTGCTGGTGCCGGCATGCCAGCCAGCTGCCTTGGAGGCTTCGGCAGTCTTTATGCTTGCACCTGCCAATCATGCAAATTGTCAAAGGCTGCTGGGGGAATGAGCCAGCTGCATGGCATGCCAGGACGCAGAGTGAGGGTACAGCCACCATCTCCCACTTGGGTCGTGAAATGGAGGGTGGCGTACACATGTCACTATCATGGCCCAGTTATCAATTGCTTCAAGGAGAGGTCCAGGTCTCCCTGGCTGCTTCTCCAACAAGACCATACTGGGTTTTTGGACCACCCTGACAGAACGTGCCATCTAGCAATTAGATTCATACATAGATGGACCCATGGGACATTATAACCATCTGCTGTCTTGAAGTATTGATACGCTGCCCCTCAGTCATCTGTTCCACCCACATTGTCCCCAGAAGTCACCGCAGTTCAGCGAAGAGCTTTGACAGATGAAGCAGGCAGGAAGGAGAAAGGACGAAAGCTGGCTTTTAGCCTGATCCACAGCAGCACAAGGAGCTTGTGTGAGAAAGGGACCGTGAAGTAACAAGGAGTGAAGCCTGAATATGTTTTCAGTTTTTCAAGCATCCACTTGCACAGTCTTGAACAGTGTCTTCTCTCTCCTGAGTCGCAGAGCCTCATATTCCCACAGCAAGATGTTTCCACCTGAAATTCTGGAGAAGTTCACTCTCATCTGGATTAGTGCTACTGAACACTCGGGAATCAGGATCAGGGCCTCTCTGACTGCTAATGCCAATCACAGGCAGAGATTACCGGATTGGTGATGGAGTGGCAGAAAACCAGACCATACTGGTTAAGTTGGTCCTTAATGTTGCCAGTGCATTAAGAAGGCAATGCCTTCAATATATGTGCAGTGTCAAGAAACACCTTCTGACACAGCCAAAATATTGCTGACTCCTAGCCAACTAATGCCAACATTCAGCTAAAAACCTAGGGCGTCAGACATCAGTTTCACATGTTTATGGCCATCTAATTGATTTTAAGTACTTCTCTTTGTTAAACTTTTGGAGGTGCTTAACCTTTCAGTTCAGCTTAGACTTCAGCCATCAGGCTGAGCTGGGAGAGGTCTTTTAAACAGCTAGGCAGCCTGAGCCTAGATACAAACCAGCCACTTTTGGGCACCCCGTTACATAATTTCTGTTCTACAAGTAATAGAGCAGGTCTGCCTTTAATTAACCGAGAAGGAAGGGGGGGGGCAGGGGACTGGAAGGGAAGAAAGAAACAGAAACAACAAGCAGATGAGAAAACACTGCTGGTGAGGAAATTCTAATAGAAATTGGGTGATTTTGAGTGAAATCTGGCAGTCTCTGGCGCATATGAATGCATTCATTGTTGCTAGTTTTGATTAATGACAGTTGTACAATAGTGTGCTGACAGTCACTGCCATACAGACACTTTTTTTTTTTATATGAAACACTGCTGAAAATGCAACCCAATCAGATTTGGCCCCTGAACAACATGTGCTATCATCACTGTACCGTGAATTGAGATTGATTGGTAACCAGCTGTGACAAAGTGGGAAAAAGAGCCTTGTCTTTTTCAAGAAAAGAAGAAAAATAAAAAACTGAATTGTGTCAAAACCATTACCATCTGCTCAACCAAATAACAAATAAAACAAAACACATTAACTGTTTTTAAGTATCACAAATTAATGTACTGAGGTTGGATTCATGCATTGGCTTAAGCATCTAAGAATAATCTTGAATTAAACTGTTTTTGTCACAGTTACCATTTTTTTCCCCACATTCAAATGTGTATCTCTCCATACTCAGCCACCAATCTTCCATGGCTATCAAATAAAAAAAAGAGAGAGAGAATTTTCTCAAGTTACGAGAGATTTAGCAATATGCTTTTTTCCATTTGATATACATTTTACTGAGTGCTTCACGGAACCCCTAGTTTTCCAGATTTTCAAAAAAGTGCATGCAGCTGTGCATAAAAAAGTATGCACCTCTTTGTCTTTTGTGTGCACAGGTAGTGAAACTGTGTTTGCAGCTGGAGTCATTGCATTTCTAGACATCCAAGTGGGTCTAACTGGTAATGCAAGGATGCACTTGCTTCAGCTGTGTATTTTAAAGTTATGAGAATGCATTACTGAATTCAACAAATCCAACTCAAAAAGATATATTTCTTGCTAAAGGGAGTTTGCAAGTGAAAAAGTTACATCTTAACTGTTGTGAACTGATGCTACTGGCCTCAAAAATTTTACATCAATTTATACCAGGCACGTATTTTCTTCTAAAACATTACTGTAAATTAAAAAAAAAAAAAAAAAATCTTTCTATGTAGGATTTGTAGGCTTTCCTTTTTTTTTAGAGATGGCACAAAAATTACTTTGCTCTATTTTCTTTTGCCTGTTTGCCAGGCTGTTTTGCAAAACACACACAAAGCTTCAAGATTACTCACAACATCAATGATTAGGAAGCCCAAATAGAGAGATGCTACTGGCCAAAACCAGAGTAAACAGGAGGTAGTTAAGGAGGCTTAAGC